CATTTTGTGCTTCGCACATGGGAGTCAAAAACACTTGTGTTGGATATAGATATGAGTACATGTAGATATAATGACCCGAGAAACTGCCTGTCATGATGTGCGATATATAATGTATAATGTAGTTGGACAGTTTGATTACCATCATTCAAAGCATATCAACAATTATAGCTCTGGAACACCATTCGTTATTACAAAATGTCCATCATTCGTGCATACACTTATAGCTGTCTATGTTTTACCAAAATCAGTGTCCAGAATGGCAAGATACTTTATTTTGAAGGCTATATCAAACTGTATAATGTCTATTCATACACCACCGATATTTGGTCACAGAATAGCAAAATATTTTATTTTGATGATTTTGTAGCTCAGAAATGGCCTCTTTAATTGGACTTGTATGACGTGTATCTGGTTTTTGAATGTAATTCACCCAGCCATGTTCAAAATTAAAAAAATAAAAAAACGTTAAATTATTGCCGAAATGAAATGTATGTGCGTAATTGTTTTAAATATGAATAGATTGTATCTTATAGCTAAGGTCAAAGGTCAACATCACCAATCACGACTTTTGGAAACCTCGCAAAAAAACGATAAATTATGCTAATTGTTTTTTCTTCTACACCTTGCACTCCTTCCTGTTGTAAATATATACCTTGTTCATTTCCAAATGTATGATCGCTGGTTGGTCCAGTTTTTATAGAAGGAGTTGATCCCTGTTCCAATGTCCAATCAAACTGATCTGATAAAGAATTTATCCAGCCACATAAACCTGATTCGAAATTACAGGATTTTCCTAATTAAAAATAGAACAGAAAAATAAACATTAAATCATCATGGCACAGGAAAAGTAGATGGTGATAATTTATTATTTCAGAACTATAGAATGTTAGACCCTGCATGAACTTCAATTTATAGAAAACAGAATTCATTGCTTTATATAATGTGTAATTGTATTAAAACACAATACCTCATAATAGCTTTACAAACCTTTCATGATAATTTCAAATAATATACATGTAGTTATATATAAACTATAATCTTGGTACATTTTAAAATACCCACCACAATTTTTCTCATCTGACTCGTCTGTGCACTCTGGATAAAAATTACACCGTTGCCAAGTATAAAAACATCCTGATCCATCTTGACAAGCTAGCATTCTTTCATCTTCTACACATGTTGGCAACGGCGTATCTGTTGTTGTCACTTCGCCAGGAATGCTGCCACCACTGATGCATTCACTGCTAAAACTTACATCATCTATCGCAATATCACCAGTAAAATATGAACCAGTCATTCCTTCCAATACAATCTAAGTGACAGACGCATACACTTATGAAATTAGTGTGTACCTTCAAAGCAAATATATACTATCCGACAGTTTTTGAGTAGTATTAACTTCGACACATAAATGACCAAAACATAATCCCTGCGAAATGAAATCAAATGTTTTTACTGTTTTCATATTGATACCAGCACCACCTTGTTTTCTCAAACCAAAGCTGAGCAAGAAGATTCCAATTCAAATTACCGGAATATGTTAAGCCATGTGTCAGATTACAAACCTTAAAATCCGCTTCACTATATATCGTTACATCAAGCGGCCACCAATAATCCCCTTGTTCTCCTGTAACATTTGTTAATACTTGTAAATCGCTGTCACCATTAAGATAAGACGTTCTCAACAAAACAGAAAAGGAGCCTATTGTTGGTCCGAGCATGTGATACCATAACATGATCTGAAATAATTAAATACATGTGCATGAGCCACGTGCACATACAGTATTTAGTTTATTAGGAACGCATGCGTTAATGTGAATGACAGTGATGTGTCTATAGTGTAAATAACACATATTTAAATGATGATATCATCTGACCCACCATACAATAAATGCATTTTGGGTTCATATATGCTTCTAATAATAATACCGTAAAATTATTCGCTAATGACCGCCAAAAATTTCGCCCTTCAAATATTGCTCCATTTCACATATTTGGTTTCTATGTCACGAGGCACTCTGGCTTTTAACGAAATCCCAGTGGCTATACGATAAAGTCTATTCCGTCCTTACAAACCTATTAAAATATATTGAATTCACCATCACACTGTACCTAAAATGTACATGGAAGTCTCATTAAGTCTTCTTTTGTTGCATTATTTGATTGTCAGAAATAGATACACGCAGATTAGAGGGCGGTGGTCGTCGTGCGTTTTCGAATTTCGTGTATTTTACACGCGTTGTATACAACACTATGAGTCCCATATCGAACAGGACGCGGCGCGACAACCACCGCCCTTTAACATCAATTTCATTCTATCTTGATCAGAGCTTCAACTAATAAATTACAATGTATATTAAAATGTACATCTAAAAATATATGACCTACGGTAGCTTTACACCAGGCATAGTACGCTCAGATACAATGTACAATACTCACTCTGCAACCAGTACTGGCGCCTTTAATGGTTTGACTAGCAAGTCTTGCCCTGTCTCCAAACGTCCTTGGATTTGAAGTCTCAATATATGCATATTGACCTGGTACAAAATAATAATAATAATAATAATAATAATAATATTAATAATAAAGGCGGTAGCAATAACATTCTATTGCTACATACATTGTTTGGAGTATATTAGTTTTAATACTTCATATATACTCTCAATAGAGTAGCATTTGAAATATAAAAAAAAATAATTCAGCGAAGACAATCAACACTTATGATTCAAGTAGAATACTTTATATTCATTGACATTGACAAAAGAACAATTATTTAATTCTGCCAACTACATAGTGTTGTTAGTTGTTTTGTTTTGTTTTGTTTTTTACTCTAAACGACTTTTTTTATAGAATTTACGTCGGGGTATGTTATTTCCACCATTAACTGCGTTCTACTTTTGGAATAGTACATTGTAGATTTCGAATCTTGCATGTTTAAATATGTTTAATTACCATAAGTAGTTCTGTATGTGTGATCAGTACTTGGCCCAGTGCTGTACGATGATGTTGCGCTTGAGTAAAATGTCCAGTCGAATTCATCCCCGGATTCTTGTTTCCATCCACAGGTGTCGAGCTCAAAAGAACATCGACCTACTAAATTATCTAGAGAAAGTATCAAATGAAGTGAGTATAAACTATTTTGATAAGCAAGGTTAGTCTACAACGCATGCGCAGTAGACGACTCCCCCGCTTTAAAGCAGAACAATTCTATAAATGAAATAGTGGATGATCCTTCAAAGTTTAGATAATACACATCACGTTTTAAAGTTGTATAAATCAACTTTTCAGTTGTTGAACTGCTAAACAGTTGAATCGGCCTGTTTGAGATAAACACGAATTAATTCAACACACACATACATACTTTTATTAAGGTTTTGGCTCGTGACAAATTACTACTATGGCAAGCCGGCTTTCCAAATTTAAAACGAGAGGGTCGTCACCTGCGCACGCAAAGGTTCATGGGTAGACGCTTGTTTGTAAACAATGACACGCTATGGCGACCTGACGCATGCGCATGTGACGACTCCCCCGCTTTAACATTTTTAGGCGAACAAAATAAGTGCCGCATATGTTGTCTGACTAGCTTTTCTGCTTATCCATAACAAATAAGATAACGTTCACGTGCTGCTTTTTATGTACATGTATATGCTACTAACTCGGTGGAGAAATGCCTTTTATCGGCAGATCAAATAAAACATAAATGTAATTCATTTTGTGGGCTGAATGATTGAAGGCAAATATTATTAAGAGCCGATAAATTAAAAAGTATCAAAAGTGCCGCCCACTGAGCTGTTATATCGCAGTGTATATTACAAGAATTGGATTAGGAAAGTTGGCTTTAATACCAAGGTAGTAATTATCTAAATTCATCACTTTTATAAATATTTCATCAAGTTAGTTATGTATTGAAAAACAATGCAACTGACATCTTGATTGCTGAACTTGTTACATTATAATGTATTCCATTTTTCGATATCAAGGAATGTGTTGTAATTATTTGATGGTTACAGGCTAGCGCACCTTTAGAGAGCAGAGTTTATCTTCTAAAATGTAGATGGAATAAAACGAGCACTTGTGTCGGTGGATTTGGTCACCGCTCCGCTATCAACAACTATTAGACTAAACTATCGCGTTGTGTGTATTTATCAGAGTGAACAAGCTTATATCTCCGAGAAAGATTCCCATTATTGATCAGACGGAGAATCAGATTCCGAGTAACCTACTTGACAAAAAAATAACAATTCAATGGTCACACTAATGTCACAATGATTGAAATAGATATGCAGTTACCACAATGATCTTCATCAGAATTATCCATACAATCATCAACAAAATTACACACTTTCTTCTTATCAATACAGAAACCGTTGGTACAGCGGAACTCCTCATTAGTACAGTCAACACCACTTATAACTGGAATGTTAACAATTGTCTATAGTTAATTAAAATGATAAACCAATGACACTAGAATATATTACACTTGTTTCAATAGTTTTGTAGTTTACACGCAAAAATGGTATAACTCAATGAAGATTGCAAATAGGATCTGTCAAAAGTTGATACTTGACGACGGCTGTCTGTACAGCTGTTGTAAATACTATAATATAATATAGGTTATGCAACGGCTTCTCAAGTTGAGATATTAAAACTATTAACTATACCTGGAGGTGCGCATTCCAAAAACTTGATATCATCAATACATGTATCACCATAGTAACTGGAACCTCTAGATGCCGACACTATTATCTGTGGGATACGGACAAAATTAAACAACAGTAATATGAACAAGTCTACCTGCAAGTGTAGCAGAATACTAATGCATATGCAAATGCATATGCAAATGCATATGCAAATGTTATGCAAATGCATTATTAACACATCAACTGCGGCAATGATGTAATGTGATGGTCATAATGAAATATGATGTACAGTAGTGGAGGACTTTGTTTCATCAAAAGATAATAATATTGGGGTTAATCAAGAAACATGTGGCTATGACATCCATCGTGCATTGACTTTGTACAATTATAGTAGAATGTCATCTGACAATTTCTGGATGCGAGGGAAATAGTTATTTGAAACTACATAGGAAATGCAATAAATGGAGGAGAGTGTAGCTTGCTATTAAAGTCTCTCTCGACAAAACTATTTACTAATATGTGTTAGAATCTGACCAGATTCTAGCCATGAATTTCTGTCAAATCTGGACTACAACTACCAGTCACTGGTCATGAGGCAAGTTCCAATTTACAGAATGCAGTCAACACATCGGACATTTGACATGACAGCATTCGTACACATTGATTACTATATACACTTTAACAATACCTTAAACATTTGGTCTGTTCCAATAAACAGCAGACCACGCTTCCATTCATCACCCGACGCACCACTCAATGTAAATTTCAAATGTGTAACATTTCCAAACTGAGTGAAAACTTGTAGTGAGCCTGAATTGCTACCTCCCATATGATACCAGAATTCTAGATGACAGTTTGGTCCAGTCTGTCCAATCAAGGGAGTGGTGATATTGGTAGTGTCTCGGTATGTTCCAGGGGAGTTATCAGCATACAGGTAATAACCTGAGTTTCAGAGAACAATAATTATAATACACACAGAAATAAAGAAAGATTTTAAATTGTGCACAAACATAACATATAATTCGTTGTTCTTTATGTACTTAGTTCGAAAATTCCAACCGTACAGAATCTATATTGATGAAAAAAAAATGACGTGAGTGTATTCTAGATGTCATATTTTGACTGTGATTATTTGATTTAATAGAATCAGCGAACGTAAGTCGAATTTATTCATTATTCTTGAACATGCATGATGGGCATTTATCTTACATTTATTGTAGTCAAAACTTGTCGTTATTTACGGTATTTATTTTAATTTTTTTGATGTGTGGGTATTGTTTGTTCATTGTTTTGTTCAGGGTTATTAGATATTAGTATATTGTTATTTTTACTTTAATAACATTTAGCATATACACTGTGATTTTACTACAGGACAACCAAATGTTGCTATAATCTGTACATATATTACAGAAAGGCTATCAACTGTAAGATACAAAATAATATAGGGCATACCACTACTTGTTCCTTTGGTGTGATCAGTACTTGGTCTGTAATCGGTTGGCATGGCTGTACTGCCTTGTTGTCGGTCCCATGCAAACTGCGGTTTGTCTCTGCGTTTCCTTGATCCGGTATAGGCACCTACCCAACCACACATGTCATCTTCAAAGTCGCAAGTTGAATTTACTGCAAAATAGTAAACCATTAAAGGACAGTGGTCGTCACTCCGCGCATGCCCCAGATATGGGTCTCGTATTAAAAAAAAGATGGCGACTTTGGCTGTTGTACATATCAATGAACTGAGACATTACCAAGGTAAGTTTGTGATCGGAAAGTACTGAAGGAGTCACCAGTGATAATGAGTGTAAGTTGCGCCCAGGTCAAAACTTATACTCATAGGATTGCATTAGATTCAGTGTAGATTGTAGGAAAATCAGTGTTTATCAACACAAATGTCGCACATGCGTGGCACGACGACCACCGTCCTTTAAATATTCATCAACAGGCTCTTAATAGATTAACATTGTCTCCTTCCGTTTGATAATTGTACACTGCTTGCGAATTTGGTTATACAATATATCAGGATTTATGAAAATGACATTGACAATAACATTATGTCAATGTCAATGACTATAACAACTGATAACTTACTGCATCTGTCAGTCTCTTCTTGACCATCTGAGCAGTCACTATAGAAATCACAAACACTTTGTGGTGCAATGCACACATTATCTGCTGTACAGTAAAATTCTCCGGTTTCACAGGCTGGATGGAGAGTTGTGGATGGTGGGAATGGTGGAGGTGTTGTTGGTGGCGCTGTTGGCAGTCGACCTAAAATGTCCAAATATTACTTTGTTATTATTATCATAAATCATATCGATTGTCAAACTCATAAATAATTAATGCAATAAATTTGGTCTTTTGTAAATTTGTAAATACCTATTGTCGCTCTAATAATAGAAGGTATTTTAAAATTTTGTTTTGGCAATTTAGCAACGAGCTAATTTTGTTTAAAGGACATTGATACTCAGGAAACTTACTAATAGAACTGAGTGAACAGGATGTAGTAAAAGTGATGTCATCAAGTGCAATATTGCCATAGTAACTATCTCCAGCAACACCTTCAAATACAACCTGTTGAATAAATAAAACTAATGTAATATGTGTGATACTCTGTCGTTCTAGCTTTATTATGAATTATCAAGCATACTTACATATACCAAAGTTATTAACTTTATTCTTCCAGATCTATGTGCTAAATTTGACCAACATTTAAACAGATAAATAAAGCCATGGCTAGAATAGGACAATCAACACATATATACAAGGCAGAATAAGGCACGTCGTAAAAAAAGTATCGACAAACAAGCTGTTTTGTATTAGTCTAGTTATTAAAGTTGCATAGCCAATAAGGTTCAATTTTATAAGCAAATTTGCATTCATTCAAATACGACGTGAGCATTGATTGTAAATGTGTAACTTCTCTATTGGAATGTATACAGACCTGGAAAGCCGAATTAATATTAAACGTAACTTCCGCTCTATCCCAGAATGCACCATTCTCACCCGTCTGTTGCCACACACGAGTTTGTCCTTGGTTTGTATTGTCGTATATACGAGTGTAGATATTCAATTTCCCCATATTTGTACCATACATGTGATAAAAGAATCGCATCTGAAAAAGTAAACATCGATGAGAATTGGCAGTTAATACATTGTCAAATGCGTTTTCATTGATAATTATTCTACCCTTTCTAGTATTTCAATAGCAACTGATTTTGGAACCATTACTCTAGCCCCCCCCCCCGAGAAAGGGAACGTTATAATTATTTGGCATGCCTTTTAAGATTTGCTACAGCCTTAGCATCATTCCCACAGTTAACAGTCTGCTGAATAGTAAATGCAAGCTGTTATCAACAAGTACTTGCTAACTAGTGATTGTGGTGGACAGTTTTCAAAAATGAATTAAGTACATTATGAAATATAGGTAATAACCACGTTTGGCGCAATAGAGACGTTTGTAGATGTAGCATAACTTACTGTACATGTTTCCGTTGTCGTGGGTTGAAATATCGGACTGATGAGCTGAGCAGCATAGCCATACTGACCATAGGAAGGCTGGATGTATATATAATATCCTGCATAGAACAAAAGCTTTAGTTTGAACAGGGTCACTACTACAATTAATATGGTTTTAATATAATAATGCATTTGAATATTCACATATGTACAACACGAATGAATTATTTCACTTTAGCTTTAAAGTTAGGATTAATATATTAGACTGTTTACAAATGTCTATTAAAAAGTGAGAAGGAGTTTGTAACGCTTTTGTTTTCAACAAAAAAAGCTTTGTTTAACTTTGTTTTATATATTAGACAGCTCAAAATACAAAATGAATAAATGATGCTGCCAAATGTAAAAGCTTTATAAATAACATAAAGTGTAAACTACAACATATCGAAACGATGCAAATTATGAAAGTCAAATCAGTAAAAAAAAGTTGTATGTTCTAACCTGAAATGTTTGTGTATGTATGATCATAACCTGGTCCTGAATAGCCAAACTGAGTTGGTCCTGATAATCGGAGCCAGTCAAATTCATCTGTACTAGTAGATTGTGACCAATCACAGAAATCGTCTTGGAAATCACACTGCTTATATTGATCTGAAAGAATCATATAAAAAATCTCACAACAAATATATTTCAAAAATCTAAAATATGAGACTACCGGGGTAATAGCTTGGATAACATTCACACTAAGGCCAGACTTTTTTTTATTCCTTGTTTCTCGAGTTTTTATAAGGCAATTTTTTTGAGGAGGGCGGAAAAAAAATAAAATTAATTCTTTTTTTCCATTAGATTTGTTTGATTCTCAAAGAATTGTAAGTGAGATCATTGATCGGAGAGAAGAAATGAAATAAAATTTTATTCCATGTATAACCTTGTTTCTCATCTTCGCGAGACTTTGGTACTTTGATCATGATACTCCCACGAAAATGCAACTTAGGTTTGTTATGTGGCGGGCGGAAAAAAAAATGAAGATAAAAACAATTTTTTTTAGCAATTTTTTGCACTTACAAGTTGGCGGGCGCAAGAAATTACACTGAAATAAAATTTTATTTTTAATTCATTTTTGGCTCCTGTTCATTCGGCAGGTTCGTGAAACAAGGGATAATAAAAGTCTGGCCTAACAAAGATTCAAATTGGACTTCAAACACGTACACCCTCACATGAATAAGGCAATGCCTTGTCAATCTGATCGATATGATGAGTAACCAATGAGCATAATATAACCCCCTGTGCAGACATTTT